CCATGTTGGCCAGGCCGGTCTTGAACTCCTGAGCTCAATCGATGCTGTGCCTCAGCCTCCCAAAGTGCTGGAATTATAAGTGTCAGCCACCACGCCTGGTCTCACTTCTCTTTTTAAAAAAAACCACCACATTTCCTCTAATTTATGGGGGTGAGTAGGAGAGGGAAGATGATGTTAGTTCAGATGCCTTTTCTGAAACAGGAGACACGCATGTCCCCCACTTTCGTCAGCCCACGGCCCCTGCCTGGTGTGCTCCCCCAGCGTGCCCATCCCTGCTGCTACCGTCCCCTCTCAACTGATGTCCTGACATCTCACCTTCTGCCTCACTTTTCCAAATTTCCTTTTATGCTCTTTTCCTTCCTCGTTCCAGAAATGTTTGCGGAGCGCCTTCTACCCCCTAAGCATCATGCTAGCAACAGGGTCTATAATGACGAGCCAAACAGATGTGGTCTCCAGCTTGCTTTCATACTGACTTCACTCATTTATTTAATATCACAGGCCAAGCACTACCCCCATGGGGTGGACAGATGAACAGGAAACAATCTTTGCCCTGACTAATGAAGTCTAGTGATGACAGAGAGAGACGCATAAAATAACGTCATCAGACACTAGCATTGAGTCTCACATGGAGTTATATCTGAAAGTTATGGGAAGTCAGAAGAAGGAGCCTGAAATCTGACTAGGGAAATTGAGGGAGGCTTTGCAGAGCACAGAATATTTGATCTGGTTCTTAAAGATTGAAGCATGTTTCACCATCCTAAAAATCTTCATCAGTTCACCATTGTCTAACTGCCTAGGTATGTAATCATGTAATCAGTGATTTCCCTGATCTAACCCCATTGTGCTGAGGTTAGACATAAAAGCCTTAACCGATGTTTTCTCCATGTATTTCCCATTCCGTCTCCCTGGTTCTCTGAGAGTCCTTTTCTTTCCCTAGTTCTTGATGCAGAAACAGATTCTGGCAAGGCACGGTGGCTCACACCTGTAATCCCAGCACATTGAGGCCGAGGTGGGTGGATCACTTGAGCTCAGGAGTTCGAGGCCAGCCTGGCAAACATGGTGAAACCCCATCTCTGCTAAAAATACATTATCTGGGTGTGGTGGTGGGTGCCTGTAATCCCAGCTAGTTGGGAGGCGGAGACACGAGAATTGCTTGAACCAGGAGGCGGAGGTTGCAGTGAGCCAAGATCACACCACTGCATTCCAGCCTGGGTGACACAGTGAGACTCTGTCTCAAAAAAATAAATTAAAAAGAAAAGAAACAAAGATTCTACAAAGGTGTTCACAGATGTACCAGGGAAGATCGCCCTGGGGAAGGTGACAAGGCCAGTTTTTCAAGCAAGGGACTAGATAGGATTGTACAGAGTGGGCAGGACTGCCTGTGTGGCTGTGTGGGTTGTGCTTTGCACCAACCAAAGTGCCCAGCAGAGTGGGCACGGCAGCTGAGACCCACTTCAAGCTCCTCTCCTTCAGACTGGCTCAGACTGGGGCAGGCTGCAGGAGCCATGAGTAAGGGCTCCTCTTTGTATTCCTCCCATCCAGACGGGAGCCTTCCTTCTCTCTTTCTTTTCCTCCCTCCCTCCCTTCCTTCCTTCTTCCTTTTTCTTTCTCTTTCTTTTCTTTCCTTTTTTCCTTCTTTCTTTTCTTTCCTTCTTTTTCTTCTTTCTTTCCTTTTTTCTCTTTTTCTCTCTCTTTCTCTTTTCCTCTTTCTCTCTCTCTTTCCCTCTTTCTCTCTTTCTTTGTCTCTTTTTCTTTCTTTCTTTCTTTTTTGAGAAAGAGTTTTACTGTGTCACCCAGGCTGGAGTGTAGTGGTGCCATCTCAGCTCACTGCAACCTCCACCTCCCACGTTCAAGCAATTCTGCTGCCTCAGCCTCCAAAGTAGCTGGGACTACAGGAATGCACCACCACGCCTGGCTAATTTTTTGTTTTTACTAGAGATGGGGTTTCGCCATGTTGGCCAGGCTGGTCTGGAACTCCTGACCTCAAGTGATCCTCTCACCTCAGCCTCCCAAAGTGCTAGGATTACATGTGTGAGCCAACATGCCTGGCCCTGGGGATCTGTTTTCTAATCTGCTTAAAGGAGCTACCATTTTCTCTGGGTGCTTCTGACACTGGTCACCTAGGGTCAGGAAGAGTGGAAGGGATTGGGAGAAAAAAATTGGTGAACTGTCTGTCCCAAAGCATGGATTCCCTCAACTAATTAACCATGCATGGATATGTTGCCATTCAACAGTTCCTGATACCTGACAGGTCCCCTGAACAGAAGGAAGCGGATCCGGATATCCTGTGGGTATGGGACATGAAAAGAGAACCTCCAACCAAGACCCACGTGGTCCTGAACCCTCCATCCTGGCCACACGGCCTTCACACTTGTGTTTTCCTCTCTATTCCCGCATTCTCCCTGTATATTAGGTACAGCCGTTTACTTGCCACTCCACATTCTCAACTTTGAACTTTTATTTATATGATTCATTCATCCTGGAATATGCTGCTCACCCTCTACTCTCCAGCAGCCAAGATGCTACTTAGTCCTCACATCCAGCTCAAATAAGATCAGTACAAATCCACGCCCAACTATGCAATGAGTAACATCAACCAGTCCTCTCTTAGCTGGGCACCGTGGCTCATGCCTGTAATCCCAGCCCTTTGGGAGGCTGAGGCAGGTGAACCACTTGAGCTCAGGAGTTTGAGAGCAGCCTGGGCAACACAGTGAGAGCCCGTCTCTACGAAAAATACAAAAAAAATAGCTGGGCCTGGTGGTGTGCACCTGTGGTCCCAGCTACTGGGGAGGCTGAGGTGGGAGGATTGCTTGAGCCCACAGTAGAGAGGCTGCAGTGAGCTGAGATCATGCCACTGCACTCCAGCCCGGATGACAGAGCAAGACCCTGTCTCAAAAAAAATGGGGACAGAAAGATACACACATACATATATACTCTTTCTTTGCCAGCTCACTTTCTGTTTCGTTCTATAAGTCTTCTCTCAGTTTACCTTATAGTGTCGTTAACTGTTTATAGGTATCTGTGCAATAGGCTATGAGTCTGTTGGGGAGTTTCCATTTCCTCCAAACTTTTGACCTAATTCTCTGACAATAACCAACTTTCCATGTAATTTTCAAAGAAATCACAGCAGGAGGAAAGGACACACTGCCCAGGTCTATGTAGACAATACAGAACTGAAAATGAACTCTTTAACAATTTAGGAAGGAGGACAGATAACCCATTTAGAACTCAGATTTATATTTAACTAGCATTTTATTGAGTAAATACTAAGTGCCCAGTATGCGTGAGCTCTTTTCACTTACATCACCTTATTTACTCCTTACAACTCCATGAGGTGAGATTTGTCAATTACAAATTTCAGGTAAAGAAACTGAGACGGAGACTTCCCAAAAGATTAAGTGACTTGTCAAGTAAATGATGGAGTCAAGATTCAAACCTCAGTATTGGGAGCTCAAGGTTCTCTCCTTTATTTACTTCATCTGGAAATGACTCTTTTCACTACACCGGGTGGTGGTGTTGATGGGGAAAGCATTAGCAAAGAAATTCCGAGTTCCCAAAACACAAAGATAATCTAACTTAACAACCCACTTTACAGGTGAAAAAACTGAAGCTCAGAGAAGTAGTGATTTGCCATAATGGACACAACTGGGAGGCAGAGGAGTAGAGCTGGTATTCAACCCTCGGAACTCCAGTTCAGTGCTGTTTCCCTGCTACCATATAGCGTGATTAGGTCACACGATTTTTCCACACTCATGCTTCCTAAGAAAGGGCTAGTGGCTTCTGGAGGCCAGGGATTATTTTTATTTAGTTGTTTTTTGTTTGTTTGTTTGTTTTTGGACAGAGTCTCACTCTGTTGCCCAGGCTGGAGTGCAGTGGCGGCACAATCTCAGCTAACTGCAACCTCCGCCTCCTGAGTTCAAGTGATTCTCCTGCCTCAGCCTCCTGAGTAGCCTGGGACTACAGGTGTGTGCCACCACACCCGGCTAATTTTTGTATTTTTAGTACAGACGGGGTTTCACCATGTTGGCCAGGCTGGTCTCGAACTCCTGACCTTGTGATCTGCCCACCTCAGTCTCCCATGTGCTGGGATTACAGGCGTGAGCCAACATGCCTGGCCTATTTTTATTTAGTTTTATTTAGTTGTCTACTTCACTGCACTGAATACTTAGGAGCTTTTAATTTATCAATCATTTAGCTGAAATCAGGAAAGGTTTTTTTTTTTCCTAAAAACTTTTTTTTTTTGAGACAAAGTGTCACTCTGTCATCCAGGCTGGAGTGCAGTGGCACAATCTCAGCTCACTGCAACCTCTGGCTCTGGGTTTAAGCGATTCTCCTGCCTTAGCCTCTCAAGTAGCTAGGATTATAGGCACCTGCCACTTTGTCCAGCTAATTTTTGTATTTTTAGTAGAGATGGGGTTTCACCATCTTGGCCGGGCTGGTCTTGAACTCCTAACCTTGTGATCCACCCGCCTCGGCCTCTCAAAGTGCTGGGATTACAGGCGTGAGCCAAAGGGACCAGCCTAAAAACATTTTTATCAACAAATATATCTTAGGGCAGGCACACTGGCTCATGCCACTGTGATCCCAGCACTTTGGGAGGCTGAGGTGGGAGAATGGCTTGAGCCCAGGAGTTCAAGACCAGCCTGGGCAACACAATGATGCCCTATCTCTACAAAAGATTTAAAAATTAGCCTGGTATGGTGGTGCTTTTCCATGGTCCCACCTACTTGGGAGGCTATGGCTGGAGGATTGCTTGAGCTTGGGAGGTTGAGGCTGCAGTGAGCCATGATCACACCATACACTCTAGCCTGAGCCACAGAGTGAGACCCTGTCTAAATAAATAAATAAAGTCTTATCCCATACAGCTTTGAAAAGCCAACCAAGAAAAACCACAATGAGAAAGACAACTTGGTACCTTTTGTTCTCAGGAAGTCAGCAACACGTGTTTTAATTTACCAATTTCCTTTATAAAGCTTTATAAAGTCCTGGCTGCTACATACCGCTTCTTCTGCATCTGCCAGCTGACATCCTAAAAATGAAGTCAAATTAGGGAAGGATGGCCGTTTCCTTGAGTCAAAAGCCCAGCAGGATTGCATTATAAAGTATCTGTAAAAGCAATAGAACAAGGAACGAGATGAAGAAGTCTGAATGAAGCAAAATGGATCGTTTTCCATATAATAAAGCACCCTTTATTCCAGTGGAGCTACATATTTACAGCATGTTTTTTTTGTTTTTGTTTTGTTTTTGTTTTTGTTTTTGTGTGGCAAGCCTTCTACCAGATTTTGAATTCGTATCAGAAAGGAGAAATCAGATGATGGGCAGAAATGCATTTAAAGAAATGTGATGTACTGAATGGAATCAAATCACCTTCATGGATTTAAAAGGAATTAAAACCTGGAAGCAGGTGCCTCTGAGAACAGGAAAGGTTCAGCTTTGTTCAGAAACTCTTAAAACGAAAAGGAAGAGTTTCTTTTTCTTTTTAAAATGGAATCAGACAGCCGGATGTGGTGGCTTACACGTGTAATCCCAGCACTTCAGGAGGCTGAGGCAGGAGGATTGCTTGAAGCCAGGAGTTTTAGACCAACCTGGCCAACGCAGCAAGACCCCACCTCTATTTTAGAAAAAGGAATCATGTAAACTTTGCATTAGGAATTTTGACTATTTTTGGTCATGCGTTTGGAAGTAGACAGACTAAATTTCTGATTTCAACCAAATTACAGTCTGAATTTGAACTTACATTTCTTCCGTAGCATAAAATGGCTGATCCATCTTAAATCCATTTCGAATCAGTCTGTAGAAGTTAGCATCAACCGGAATGCCAGGGTAAGGATTCACACCTGAGGAAAACATTAGCCACGTGTAGCCATTCATCCATTTCTTCATTTGTTTATTGATTCATTCAATTAACAAACATATATTGAGAGCTGCCATGTGCCAGACACTGTTGCAGTCACATGGGCTACAGCTGGGAAAAAGAAGTCACAGCTCACGTTCTCAAGCAGGTTATAAACCAATGAGGAAGACAGGCCAAAGGACACCAGGAAATAAACATAAAGTCACAGGCTGCAATACCAGTAAGACCCATCAGTGTTGGATGGGTCAGCGGAGGGGAGAAGGGGAACCCCAAGAGAGCAGAGCATGCAAAGCCCAGAGCCAAGGGAGGCCGGCAGTGCCCCAACATACCAAGTGAGAAGATTTCCCAGAGTAATATTCCGTATGACCAGACATCACTCTTAATGGTATAGATCCCTTCAAACAGGCTTTCCGGGGCCATCCATTTTACAGGCAGACGGGCCTGTGGACAACCCAGAGGAGATAAGATGGTGAATTTTCCACATACAGACATGGCTTCTTTTATCTTGTATTAAGATGAAATGCAGGCCGGGCGAGGTGGCTCATGCCTATAATCACAGCCCTTTGGGAGGTCGAAGCAGGTGGATCACGAGGTCAAGAGATCGAGACCATCCTGGTCAATACGGTGAAAGCCTATCTCTACTAAAAATACAAAAATTAGCTGGGTATGGTGGCACAACCCTGTAGTCCCAGCTACTCAGGAGGCTGAGGCAGGAGAATTGCTTGAACCCAGGACGCGGAGGTTGCGGTGAGCTGAGATCACACCATTGCACTCCAGCCTAGGTATAAAGAGTGAAGCTCCGTCTCAAAAAAAAAAGAAAAAAAAAGATGAAATGCATCATCTTCCTAAGGCCACACTTAATGCCTTATTGAGAAAATCACATGAAAATCATATTCCTCAAGTGGAAGATTTTCACTTTCGAATTAACATTCTAGTAACAGTAGCTGAAAACACAAGGCATATTTCTTTACAACTCCTCTTGAACAAAGGCTTGTGCTTGGAATGGGTAAGTTTAACTTTCCATCCATCCAATGGAAAGATGTACTTTCCATTGAGGAATGCCAGTCAGTTGCCTAGGGGCAAGTGGGTACTAGTGAATTAATAAGATCTTCTGTTAAAGCCTTTCTTGGGGCCGGGTGCAGTGGCTCACGCCTGTAATCCGAGCACTTTGGGAGGCCAAAGCGGGCGGATCACGAGGTCAACAGCTCGAGACCATCCTGGCCAACATGGTGAAACCCCGCCTCTACTAAAAAATACAAAAATTAGCCGGGCGCGGTGGCTCAAGCCTGTAATCCCAGCACTTTGGGAGGCCAAGGCGGGTGGATCACGAGGTCAAGGGATC